CGGGGACCCGGTGAGCTGGGCTGGGACGGCACCGGGGACCGGGTGAGCTGGGCCGGGACGGCACTGGGGCTCTGGGTGAGCTGGGCCGGGACGGCACCGGGGCCCAGGGTGAGCTGGGCCGGGTCAGCACCAGGGCCTGGGGTGAGCTGGGCCGGGACCGCACCGGGGTCGGGGGTGAGCCGGGCTGGGATAGGAATTGAACCCTGACCTCCTGGTTCATAGGTTGACACTCAGCCACTAAGCCACGCTGGCTGGGTTCATCTGTTCGTTTTAAGTGTGTTTTCAGTAGCTCAGTTTTTATGCTTGACCCATCTGACATCTGTTTTCTCATTGAGGAATTCGGTCTATTCCGCTTAGCCTAACAACTGATGTACCTGTCTTACTGCTTTTGGATAAGTTCATTTAACTGTATTTATTTGTCATTTCTTCTTTTCCTCTATTCTTGTTTATGTCATTTGGTTGAGTTACTATACATTTCCCTTTTCCTTTATTAATTTGGAAATTCTACTCTTCTCATCTCTACTCATGATGACCTCACTTTGTGACCCTCTTAATCACATATATTTATCTATCATTTAAAAAAAAATACATTTTTATTGATTTCAGAGTAGAAGGGAGAGGGAGGGAGAGATAGAAACATCAATAATGAGAGAGAATCGTTGATTGGCTGCCTCCTGCCCTGGGGATCAAGCCTGCAACCAGGGCATGTGCCCTGCCTGGGAATCGAACCCACCCCCCTTCAGTGAACAGGACAATGCTCCAACTAACTGAGCCACACCAGCCAGGATTCATTCCCCCTCCCTGTCTCTCTCTCTCTCTCTCTCTCTCTCTCTCTGTACTCTGGGCATGTGCCCTGACTGGGAAACTGGGAATTCAACCTTGACTTCCTGGTTCATGGGTCCATGTTCAACCAACTGAGCCCACGGGCCTGGCTCACTCTGCTTGCAGTCGCCCCAGTGAGTGCGCTGTGGTTTTGATTTGCGTTTCCCTGGTGACTGTGATGCTGACCATTGTGTGCTTATTGGCCACTGTTTATCTTCTTTGGAAGGAAGCTCCTTTCTGCCTGTGTCCTAACAGTTAGGACCCTCCCTGCTGCCTCCTGCTGGGTGGTCTCCAGGAGGGGCCTGGCTGAATGAGCCTGGCGTCCGGAGGTATGGGGGCTGGGTGGCCTGTTGTCTGGCCCAGCTGGGCTTGGGGACATCCAAGACCTAACTCCTAAGCTAGTTAGCCATAAACGTTTACTGCGGACACATGGGGTTCAGAACAAGAGGTAGAGCTCTGGACTCGTGGCACAGGAAAGCGTCTGTTCTTCTGTCCATCCGTCCGTCCTCCCGCAAGTGATCAGTCCTTGCTTAGTGGGGGTCTCCTCAAATAGCACACTCCACCGCCCGCAGCGCCTCCCGGTGGGTCAGGTCGCGCTATGCAAGCCCATCTCCAGGGTAACTTCCTGGGAGTGGAGTTTGGGGGTCCGAGGATGTAGCATGGCTATACCCAGTCACACTTCCACCTACAATGTGTGAGAGCCTGCTTCCCGGACCACAGTGTGAGCCACCTTTCTGGTCTTTGCTCATCAGGAAGGTAAAGATAAATGTTTCTCACATTCTCCCATGATCCTCTGTGGCCGTGAAGGAACTGTATGGGCTTCCTTCCCAGCCGAGGACCACGCTGCCCGGAGGCAGGGCTGGGGAAGCCGGCGATGCTGAGGGCTGCCCCAGCGGGGACTCATGGTGGCCATCACTCCAGGAAGCCCTACGCCCTGCCAGGCGCTCTCCACTGGATAGTATCAAACTAGACAAAAAAAAAAAAACTTTAAAAGATACGGTGTGCAGGACCTCATGGTCTCCCTGTGCTCACCACCTCTGAACCAGGCTCGCAGAGACCTTTGTTGTGTGGGTTTGCTGATGACTGTGCGGGGCAACAGAGAGACTGCCCCCATGGCCCGGGGCTCAGCTGCTCCTGTGATGTGAGACCCTGAGCCTCTTTGCTGCCGGAGAGCTCGCTGGGGTTGGCAGCCGCTGGGCCAGGGAGACGGGAGTGGGCATTGAAGGGCCTCCTCAGGCCAGTGCCGGTCACTTCCCAGCTGCCAGGAGGCCAGGCCCAGAGCCAGGGGCTGACCGCTCTGACCCTCAGCATCTCTTTCTATAGAACCGAGCTAGACCCGCACACACTCCCAGGGCCATTGTGAGAGTCACACAGGCGAAGCCTTGAATGCTAGGCCTGGCGGAGTGCACACCCAACAAGAGGGAGCTTTCCTTATTCCTAAGCTGACGGGCTGGAGCTTGGCTGATCCCTCGGGGACGAAATGCTTGGATAAAAGAGTTCATCTGGTGGGGCTCAGGGGTTGAGCATTGATCCATGGCCCAGGAGGTCAGTTTGATTCCGGGTCAGGGCACAGGCCCCGGTTGTGGGCTCAGTCCCCGTGGGGAGAGTGCAGGAGGCAGCTGATCAATGATTCTCTCTCATCACTGGTGTTTCTATCTATCTATATCTATCTATTCCTCTCTCTCGTAAATTAACGAAACCAAAAAAGAAAAAGAAAAATTAAAAATTGGAGAACAGAGTCTTGATGGGTTTGATTTACAGAGGTGACTGTGACAACACAGATTAATACCATTGCAAACAGCTTTATCACATATCGCAGCTCCCAAAAGCAGGGTCACGCCATGCCACCCAGGGCCACATGGGAAGCACCAGGAGTTGGTCCAGAGGCAGAGGGAGCGAGAGGAATCATGGCCCAGACATGAATTATGGTTTCCATGGAAGGAAGGGGAAAACCAGGAGAGGCAGACTGAAGCCAGTGTCGGATTGAGTGGTTTCAGTGGGCTCTGTGGTACGGGCAGGTGTCTGTGTGTCTGGGACCTGGCTGGGGGTGAGTTAGGGCTGAGAAATACTGGCCTGATGGGTGAGTGAAGGCAGTGGCTGGGGATCTACAGGTCGCTTTGGATTGGCTGGTTTGCATGCGAAAGGCTTGCTCAGGGCAAGTTGTTCAGGATCCCTAGGGATTATCTAATCCACAGGCGGGGCAGCCTCTCCAGGAAGAGCGAGACCTCGGGATGTCAAAGAATCACAAAACAGCCCTGACCGGTCTGGCTCAGTGGACAGAGCAGACTGAAAGGTCCCAGGTTCGATTCCAGTCAAGGGCATGTACCTTGGTTGCAGGCACATCCCCAATAGGGGGTGTGCAGGAGGCAGCTGATCAATGTATCTCTCTCAGGGATGTTTCTAACTCTATCCCTCTCCCTTCCTCTCTGTAAAAAAATCAGTAAGATATATTTTTTTAAAAAAGCATCATAAAGTATAGAAAATTTAAGACATAGCTAATATACATCACAGGTCTAACATTTATTTTATATATATTATTTTCTACAGAGAGGAAGGGAGAGAGATAGTTAGAAACATACATGAGAATCATCAATCAGCTGCCTCCTGCACGCCCCCTACTGGGGATGTGCCTGCAACCAAGGTACATGCCCTTGACTGGAATCGAACCTGGGACCCTGGAGTCTGCAGGCAGATGTTCTATCCACTGAGCCATAGGTCTAACATGGAAAGCCCTCCTACCCAAGCTGTGGTGGTCGGCTGCTGAGTGTGTGTCCTTGAAAGTGTTCAAGCAGAGTTCGATGCCCTTGTCCTGGGCCCGGGAAAAGGGGAGCTGTAACCACAGGGATCCTGGGAAGGCGGTGTCTGAAAGGCTCTCTAGAACACTGCTCCCCCGGGCACAACCGGAAGGCGCCAGCTTCCTGACCCGGAAGTTCAAGGGTTCAGGTGCAGGTGGGCCCGGAGCACAGCGGATGCCTTCAGAGGTTTGCCTTTGTCTGTTGCTTAGCTGTAGCTTTCTGTGTTGGCTTCACTCTGCCTATTTATCAAACCCCACGAGGTAAGAGGATAGATTTCTCCAGATTGTTCCGGGTGAGCACTGGGGTTGAAATCTTTGGCCACAGTTTTGGGGTGAGTGTAAGGTGACCAGACATCCCGCTTTTGGCGGGACAGCCCCGATTTTTAACAATTTATCCCGCGGCGTTTTAAAAAAAAGTCCAAAAGATTTAAAAGAATCTTTCCAAAAATCGGGACTTTTTAAAGATGCCGCTGGACGCGGGGTAAATTGTTAAAAATCGGGACTGTCCCGCCAAAAGCGGGATGTCTGGTCGCCTTAGCCTGCGTGGCCGGCTCGGTGCCACCCTCCGGCCCAGGGCGGGGGGGGAACTCCCCCAGAGCACACAGAGGGGCAGGGGCCCCCGGGCCTCTGACAGAAGCGGGGGTGCGCGGCCCTTGGTTGGATTCAGCTCCTGACAGCTCCAGAGTCTGCCTTCCTCGGGTGCCCCTCGGCGTCCCCAGGATCCTGGGGGGCCTCGGGCCTGGGTGACCGTGTCCCCCCCCCCCCCCCAGGCCCGGGGGACGCTCCAGAACCGCGTGCTGCTGTGGAAGGAGCAGTCGGAGGCCAGCCGCAACCCGTCGCGGGCCCACTCGCCCGGCCTGCTGGGCCCGGTGCTGGGGCCGCCCTACCCCTCGGGCCGCCTGACGCCCACCCGCCTGGACATGGTGAGGCCCTGGGCGCCCCCGCCGCTCCTCCCTCCGCCGCTCGCGCCCCCGCCGCTATTCGCGCCGCCGCTGATGCCCCCGCCGCTGTCCCCGGCGCCCTCCGTGGGGCCCTGGGGCCTGTGGCCCTCCGCGCGGGGCCTCCTCCCGCCCAGGGTCCCGCCCTACGCGGCGCCCCCGCTCTACACGGCGCCCCCGCTCTACGCGGCGCCCCCGGCCTGGCCTTTCCGGCCCGGCGCGACCTCGGCGCCGCCCTGGTGGCTGGGCCACCGGCCGGTGAACCCCTACGCCGACTACTGGGACTGGGACTGGGGCTGGGGCTGGGGGCTGGACTAGGGCGCGCGCCCCGCCCCTCCCCGCCCCACCCGCCCTCCCTCTCCCCCCAGCCCCCCAGGCCGCTGGGAGAGTTCGGCTCCCCGCGCAGCGGGCACGGCCCCGCCTACGGCCCCGAGCCCGGCGAGGCGAGGCCCGCGTCCCAGCTGGAGCCCGACCGCCGCCCCCTGCCCCGGACGCCGTCCGCCTGTGAGTGCGGGGGGGGGGGGGGGGGGGCGGGGAGGGGGGCGGGGGCCGCGGACCGGGAGGGCCCCTCCCACCACCTGCCGCCTCCCGCAGCCTCGCTCTACGCCGGCGGCGCCCAGCGCTCGCGCTCCAACTCGTTCGGGGAGCGGCCGGGCGGCGCGGGCGCCCGCAGAGTCCGCGCCCTCGTCTCGCACTCGGAGGGCGCCAACCACACGCTGCTGCGCTTCTCGGCCGGAGACGTCGTGGAGGTGCTGGTGGCCGAGGCCCAGAACGGCTGGCTCTATGGCAAGCTGGAGGGCTCGTCCACGTGAGTGGCCAGGGGGGCCGGGGATGGGGTGGGGTGGGGGCTGGAGCGGGGCGGGGGGAGGGGCCCGGAGGCCTGACCTCTAGCTCCGACGGAGACTTCCCGGTGGAGGTTCCCATCGGCACCAAGGTCAGGTGCAGGCGCTTGAGAGGTGGGAGAATGGAGACTCACCGGCGGAACAGGAAGGACAGAAACCTTATTACGAGGACCTACTGTGCACCTTATTTTGAGCACCTGCTGTGCACCGGACACCGAGGGAGGGGACAGTTTTCCTTCTGCGCCCCGAGTCCGCTAGAGCCAGCTCTGATGGGGCGGACGGCGGTGGCCGCCCAGCCGCAGAGGCAGTGCTGGGGCCTTGCAGGCTGGCCGCTCCCTCCTCTCAGTCACTCGCAGGGGAGTCCCTGAAGGACCTGCCCTGGCGAAGGCTCCAAAGGCCGACTGCCCAGTCCCAGGCCCAGGGGGCAGCCACTGGGCGGAGGAGAGAGCAGGGCTTGGAGTCAGGCACCTGGGCGTGGGTGTCCCATCCCCTGGAGCCTGCAGTTGCCTGTGGGCCTGCCCTTGGCTGGGACCTGTGGTCATGCTTGTGGCCCGCCCCCAGCCAGGCAGGGAGGCCCTGGGGAGGCCGGTGCCTCCTCTGGCCCTCACGGGTGGGTGTTCGGGGAGCAGGGATTGAAGGACCTCCAGTTCCTCCTCCCGAGGAGCCCACGCCTGTGGGGGACACGAGGCTGGGCTGGTGGCCTTGAATGCCCAGAAAGACCTCCTTGGAGGGGTGAAACGCTGCTCTCGGCAGAGCCCGGAGCAGCCGCCCAGCAGTGCCAGCTCCGTGCTCCGGGGGAAGGGGGCTGAATCACCTTTGTGGGGCCTTCTGCTTAGGGGACCCTCTGCTTCCCCCGCAGGGGCGGCTGGTTCCCCGAAGCCTATGTGAAGCCATTGGAGGAGGTGCCCATGAACCCCATGAACGCCTTGAACCCCATGAACCCCATGAACGCCTTGAACCCCATGACCTCCATGAACCCCATGAACCCCATGAACCCAGTGACCTCCATGAACCCCATGAGCCCTATGAATGAGCTACCTTCCAGGTACCTGGGGGGGGACTCCAGTGGGGGGTGACCCCACCATCAGGGGGGTATCTGTGAGTTGCAGTCCTGAGTGGGCCCAGCCCCCTTTGGCCCCTGGAGAAGGGGGCACCCCATTTCTCTAACCGTGAAGGCCATGGTGTCCATCCCTCTGCCTCCTCTCAGGTCCGCCTGCCAGCCAGTAGCCTCCTCTCCCCAGGCGCCCGGGGGGAGGCTGAGGGAAGCTCAGGGGCCCAGCAGATGGGGCCTGACCCCTGACCCCTGGCCCCCTCCCTCCCCTCCTCTCTGGGCTCAGGTCCTACCCGCTCCGGGGCAGCCACAGCCTGGATGACCTCCTGGACCGGCCGGGCCACGCCGCGGCGCCCTCGGAGTGCTGGGACGGCCAGCCCCGCTCGCGAACGCCGAGCCGGGTGCCGAGCCGCGCCCCCAGCCCCGCACCGACACCCTTGCCTGACAGCCGCCGCAGCAGCATGGGCAGCATGGGGGTGGCCCCCGATGTCAAGGTGAGCCTCTCCCCCGAGTGTCCTCCACCCAGGTGCCCAGTGGGCGGGAGACGGCAGGCCGGGCCCCTCTCTGCTTCGCCGCTGTGTCTGGCGGGCCCTCCCCCGGCCTCAGTCTGCCCTCTGTGCGGGGAGGTGTGGGAGGGGGATGTATTCAGCTCCGGGACCAGAGGCCCAGTGCCCGCTGGGAGCACCGGGGAAAGGCCCGTCCTCCCTGCCTCCCAGGGAGGTCAAACCGGGGTCCTGGGTCGGAGCCGGCCGGTAGCGACACAGGGAAGGCTCCCCATGAGGCCACCGCAGTCTCGTCCTGGGCGATGGTGGCCCTGGAGGTGGTCTGAGTCCTGGGCCTGGAGGGGGAGCGGAGGGCAGGGGCTGGCTGCCCTTCCCCTCCAGACCGCCCTTCCTCCTCCCCCTGCAGAAACTCATGTCCTGGGAGCAGCAGCCGCCAGAGCTCTTCCCTCGGTGAGTCTGGCAGGGCCGGCCGGTGGGGCCGGACTCGGTGGAGGGAGACAGACGGGGGGGGGGGGGGTGGTGAGAGCGGGTGACGATGGGGACAGGAGGCAGTGAGGACACCTGGCTCAGGTGCCCAGCTGCCTTCCCTGGACCCACAGCCAGCGGAGACCTCTCTGTGACCTCCCCCCACAGGGGCACTAACCCCTTCGCCACCGTGAAGCTGCGTCCCACCGTCACCAACGACCGCTCGGCACCCCTCATCCGCTGAGGCCTTCCTCCTCCGAGGCCCGAGGTCACCCGCACCCGCCCGGCGCCGCCCAGAGCTGGCAGCGGCGGCAGCAGCAGCAGCAGCAGTGGATCCGAGACGCCGGGCCTGGTCCTGGTGGGGGTGCCCTCCCCTGGCCCGGCCCCCAGCCTGAGCTGCTCCCCGGCCCCGCCCGGCACCGGGCCTGGGACCTTCACCTACAGCAGGTGGAACGGGGTCAGAGCCACTCCTCCCCGCAGGGGCCCCAGGACTCTCCCTGGGGGCCTACCTCACACCCATCCTCCTTCCTCCTCCCCCCGTGGGGAGGAGCCCCTCACACACCCTCCCCCCCTCCCCCCCGCACTTGTCCCTTTTAACTTTTGTAAAAACGAGAAATAAAGCAAGTGGACAGGCCGCGGACTGGTGGTCTCTGGGTGGGGGCTGGGCAGGTGGGCTGGAGACCTCCCACTGGAGAACGGGGTCACCCTCCTTCCCCTCTCAGCCCTCTTTTCACAAGCCTTTCGGTGCACCCTCCCCCGCCCTCCCCCCCCTCCCCCATCTCCAGCCTCAGGAAAGGCGGCCTCCCCAGAGGCGGCAGCGGCGGTGGCCGAGGTCAGGGACCTCGTGGCCTGGGACACAGCACCCTTTGTTCCGCCTCCCGGCCCAGTCCCGGCTCCTGGATTAGCCTTATCCGGGGGCACAGAGCCTTCCTGGAATGTGGCGGGGTGGGGGGCGGGCGAGGCATGGAGGTGATTGGGGCCTGGGGGGGGGGGTCTCTCCAGGACAGGGCTGTGCCCCCAGCGCCAGCAGGACCCCCTCACAGAGCAGGGCTCTGTGTCCGCCTGGGGCCCGGAACTTGGAGCCTCGTCTGCCCAAACCTCCCCGCAGGCCCGGGTGTCCACCCCGCTCCTGGTCCCTTCCCCCCTCCCAGGAAGCGCCTCTTAGAGTGTGAGGTGGGAGCGCTCCAAGCCTGGACCTGGGGTGAGGCCAGGCCAGTGGCTGATCTGCGGGTGAGCCTGGCAGTCTGGCTGCCCCCCCCCCCACCAGGCTGGGGTGCACGGGGAGCCCCGCCCAGCAGGCCTCAATGTGAGGCCGGACGGCTCAGGTGAGTGTGGGCGAGCTGCTGAGGAGAGGAAGGCAGGGAAGGCCAGGCGCGTCCTGGCGGGGAGGGGCAGGGTCCCCGACACCCACAGCTCCCGGCATCACCCGGTGCCAGGAGAGGCCCAGGTGAGGAGGGGCTGCGGAGACAGGGAGCTGGTCCACCCCGGGGAGGGGGACGCAGGCGGCTGCGCGGGAGCCCCGGGCTGAGCCCAGGGTGACAGGCTTCTGAGCTGCTTCCGCACGTGCAGGTGGGGAGGCTGCTAGGGGCTCAGCAGAAGGGCTCTCTCTCCTGGTGCCGTCCCCACCTGTCCCGTGAGAGCCGAGCTCCAACCCCACCCCAAGATTCCCCGCCGGCCCGCAGTGGGGAAACTGAGGCTCAGCTGGATGAGCTGGGAGAGGCCAATGCTGTCACACACACGCCCTTGTCCCCTCCCCCCAAATATCCCAGTGCTAGCAGTCACTCCTGGTCCCTGAGGATTAGGCCATAAACAGGCCAAGGGGGAATCTCCACCCTTTCGCTGCTGGTGCCCTCCTCCCCCACCCCCACCCCCAAGCTGGTTCTCTGTCGACATCAGACAAGCTCGCTGGGCACCCACACTTCCGGTCACCCGCTGGCCGCCAGGCTCTCCGATCACCAGCTCCCCCTCTCCTGCTGCCCCAGGTGCAGAAGAGAAACGGGGTGCCTGTGGGAGAGCCTTCCGGAAGCCAGGACTCAGGTGGGGCCACTCTGTTATCCCTCCTCCCTCCCGTGCCCCTGGGAGGCGGGACTCACTCTGGCTTCCCTCCCTGCGCAGGCTCCGGTGGGGGCCGTGCCTCAGTTTCCCCAGGCTGGGTCTCCACGCCCCTCGTCTGGGTGACTCCCTTGCTGCTCCCTCTCTCTCCTCTCCCCGCAGCGGAGGCGGCGGCCATGGGCACCCGCGGCCCCCGCGGGGAGTGGCCCCGGACGGCGGCTGGGGCTGGGCGGCTGGGCCTGCTGCGTGGCCCAGGCTGGGAGCGGCTTCGGCGCCGGTCACAGCGGGGCGGCCTGGTGCCCTCCATCATGCTGGCCGTGCCCCTGGAGGCGGGAATCTGGCTTCCCTCCCCTGCAGGCTCCGGTCCGCGCCGCCCGGGGTCGGGGGGGGGGGGGGGATAGGGACCCGTGGATCCCTGATCCCTGGGCACCCGGGCCCCTCGGGAGCCCCTTCCTGCGGTGGAAACCAGGACCCCGGAGAGGGGAGGCGAGGACAGGAGAGGGGCAGCGGCCAGAGGGGGGCAGCCCAGCCTCCAGCTGTGCCGATGAGACAGGCGGGCTCCTTCCCGCTTTGGGCTCCGTGTTCTCTGGGGGGCGGGGAGGGGCTCGGGGCCAGGACAGGCCCCCCTGAGTCCCCGCGGGCGCCGTCTCCCAGCTCGTCCAGCCGAGCTGGGTGCCCTCGGTGGACCCTGCGCCGCCAGGGTGCAGAGCCTGGAGTGCGCCCGGGAGAGGAGATGCCGGGTCAGTGCCCGCCTGCCCACAGGCCCGTGTCCACCATCCTCGTGGCCCGGTTCGGCTGCCGCCCGGTGATGCTGGCGGGCAGGCTGCTGGCTTCGGCGGGCATGGTCCTCCCTCCTTCACCCGCGCCTGCTGGAGCTCCACCTGACGGCGGGGTGCTGACAGGTGAGGGGGTGCTGACAGGTGAGGGGGTGCTGACAGGTGAGGGGGTGCTGACAGGTGTGGGGATGCTGACAGGTGGGGGGGTGCTGACAGGTGAGGGGGTGCTGACAGGTGAGGGGGTGCTGACAGGTGGGGGGGTGCTGACAGGTGAGGGGGTGCTGACAGGTGGGGGGGTGCTGACAGGTGGGGGGGTGCTGACAGGTGAGGGCGGGGTGCTGACAGGTGAGGGGGTGCTGACAGGTGAGGGGGTGCTGACAGGTGGGGGGGTGCTGACAGGTGAGGGGGTCCTGACAGGTGAGGGGGTGCTGACAGGTGGGGGGGTGCTGACAGGTGGGGGGGTGCTGACAGGTGAGGGGGTGCTGACAGGTGGGGGGGTGCTGACAGGTGAGGGGGTGCTGACAGGTGGGGGGGTGCTGACAGGTGAGGGGGTGCTGACAGGTGGGGGGGTGCTGACAGGTGAGGGGGTGCTGACAGGTGGGGGGGTGCTGACAGGTGAGGGGGTGCTGACAGGTGGGGGGGTGCTGACAGGTGAGGGGGTGCTGACAGGTGAGGGGGTGCTGACAGGTGAGGGCGGGGTGCTGACAGGTGAGGGGGTGCTGACAGGTGGGGGGGTGCTGACAGGTGAAGGGGTGCTGACAGGTGGGGGGGTGCTGACAGGTGAGGGGGTGCTGACAGGTGGGGGGGTGCTGACAGGTGAGGGGGTGCTGACAGGTGAGGGGGGCTGCCCCTCCCCTGCAGGCCCTGGGGGGTCACGGGGAGTCCTCGCTGCAGGAACGCCAGTCCTCAGTTTCCCCGTGAGGAGCTGCCCTCCAAGCCCCTCTGCGCTCTCCCCGGGGGGATGGGAGGGATGGGGGGAGGGCCCGGGAGCCCGCAGGCCTGGGCCTGGCGCTCAGCTTCCAGGCGGCGCCCTCACGCTGGGGCTGCACTTGGGCCGCGGCGGGCAGCCCCGCGTTCCCGGCGGCCTGTCGCCCGGGGCCGGCGGCAGCGCTTCGGCTGGTGCGGGGCGGCCGCCCGCTGCGCTGCTGCCGGAGCCGGAGCCGGAGCGCGGGCCGGGCGCGGCCGGGCGCGGGGGCAGGTTGGGCGCCGCCCGGGGCGGAGCGGGAGCCGGAGCGCGGGCCCCGCCGCCGCCGCTGGACGTGTTGGCTGCGCCGGCCGGGCCCTCGCCGCGTGCGCCGGCACCGCGGTCCTGAGGGCGCTGGGCTCCCCGCCGCCTCCGGCCGGGGACCTGCGCCCAGGACGCGGGCCCGGGCGCCGCCGCGTCCTCCTCTCCGTCGGGGGCCTCGCGGCGCGGCCGGCGTGCGGGGCCCGGGCGGCCTGGGCACCCGCGGCCGCACGGGAGCCGCCCGCCCGGCCTGGCGCTGCCGCCAGCGGCTCCCCGGCCTGGGCAGCGCCCGCGCTCCGCGGCGCCCCGGGCCTCTGCGTGGCCCTCGGCCTCGGCCGCTCGGTGGGCGCGCTGCCGCTGGAGGAGCTCATGGCGCCGCCCGCTTCCCGGCGCTGGGCCCGGTGCTGCTGTCGAGGCCGTGGCTGTGCTCATGGGACCGCGTCCGCGGTGCGCCCATCGGGAGGGGGTGGTGGGGGCGCAGCCCGGTGCCCCTTATCCCGAGGGGAGCCCTTCCTGTGAGACGGGACTTGCAGGGATGAGCGCCAGAGGACACAGCCTGGAGGGTGGGCTGACTCGCCCTCCAGGCCGGCGGCCGGGCTCTGGGTGGGGGCGGAAGTGCCAGGAAGCACCAACAATGATAGCGGCCGGCCACCGGGTCATCTCCGGCAGCCGGCACAGAGCACAAACGCGCATCCTCCGTTTGTAGATGGGGAAACTGAGGCACAGAGCCCCACTACAGGTGTCAGTCCCAGGATCAGAGTGGCGCCCTGCCGGGCACTGAATGCCTCGTTTTTCAGACACTCCACCGGAGCGCTTTAGTGCCCAGCCCCTGAGTGGCTGGAACAGGGACAGTGTCTTTGGAGAGCCAGCCCTGGGGCCAGGAGCAGAGTCGGGGTGCTCAGGTGGAGAAGGAGGGGTGCAGGGTTCTTCCCTGTGCACACTGCCTGCTGGGCACCGGACACTCATCACCTTTCAGGGCACCGTCCTGATGAGGGTGGTCCCGGAGGGCTTCCTGCAGGCGCTGGCATGAAGGCAGCCCGCAGGGCAGGGCAGACCCCACCGAGGGCACAGGGCAGACCCGCAGCGGGCAGTATTCCTACCGAGGAGGCAGGAGCTGGGGCCGGGAAGGTGTCGGGGGGCCTCTGTCCCTGGGTGGGTGGGTGGTCCCTGGAACAGCAGGAAGCTGCTGTGAGCAGAGGGAGCTGAGCCCCCTGGGGGACGGGACCCTGGAGGGAGAGTCTCTGCTGGAGCCCAGTGTGCGGGGGTGGGGGCGCCCCCCTTCCAGGGCTGGGCTGGCTGAGTGCCAGCACCTGGCCAGTGGGAACCGCAAAGCCTGTGAAGCCGTGCAGGGAGGCCCCAGCTCACTGCCAACGGTCACAAAACCAGCGCCCCCCCCCCCCCCCCCCCCCAGTTCTCAGTGAGAGAGCTGGGACTGGCCCCTGAAGGTTGTGGAAAGAGCACGAGTTGGGGGAGCCCCAGGAGAAGGCTCAGCCCAGAGCCCCTTCCTTCCCCACTCCTTCCCGAATCTCCCCAGCTGCGTACCTCGCAGCACGTGTGGGGTGTGAATCTGTAACCTAAAGAGTGCTGCCTCACCCTGTCATTGCAGAAACAGGTCCAGGGAAGTGGCATTTTAAGGTCTCAAATGGCCGGACTTGTGTGGGGTTTTAAATCTATAGAATGGGAATTAAGACTGGGGCATGTGTCTCACCCACCACATAGAGGGCACCGCCCCTTATCTGAGGGTTCAGGGTGGGGTTCCCCGCTTGTCCTGAACCCCCCTTCCCCACGCAGGCCACCTGGTGGACGCGCTGCAGAGCTACGAGGCCATATTCTACCTGGCGGGCTCCGAGGTGGCCCTGGCGGGCTCTTCCTGGCCATGCCACCTGCTGTCTGTGCTCCCAGGCAGCGCCGAGGGGCCTGGAGGCTGTGCAGTTGCTTAGCCCTGGGGCTGGGCCCTCAGACCCAGAGGTGGAGGCAGAGCCAGAGGCAGCGCCAGGGCTGGCCCCGGAGTCTGTGTGGCAGAGGTGCGGGGTGGAGCTCGGGACTCGGTGCTCGCCCCTGCAGCCAGGCGGGAGCTCCTCCCTGTGCCCCCCGCTTCCTGCCGGCCCTGCCCCCGCTCAGGGAAGCTGCTGAGCCCGAAGGGGGTCCGAGCTCTGTGACACCCAAGTTCATAAAACTCAGCTGAAAGCCAGGCTCTGTTCCTGCACCCGCACTGGGGCTGTGGCTCTGGCTCCCACCTGGCAGCGGGGAGGGAGAGTCTGAGAGGCTCTCCAGGCCCTCCAGCCTGGCAGGTGCGAGGGGCGGAGGGGCAGAGGTGGGGGAAGGGCGGGAAGGGGTTCCCAGACTGAGGACCGAGTGGGCCTGGCCTGGGCCTCCTCTCGGCTGAGGCTGGCAGTGAGCCCATCCTGTGGTCGCCCGGAGCGTGGGGCCAGCACCACCTGCTGCCTTGGGCAAGGTGTCCCTCCGCTCCTTTTGGGAGCGCCCCCCCCCCCCAACTGAACTGAGAACCTCTCTAGGATGCAAACTCCGTGTCTGTGGGTGCTGCTTCCCGCATGGGGAGCCCGGCCAGCTCCTCTCTGCACGTTGGTCCAGTGCAGGGCGCGCCCTGCCTGGGAGGTTGCGGTACCCGGTCCCTCTGTGCTCACCCTCTTCCCGCAGGCCGGGCGCCCTTCCTCTGCTCCCTGCCCTCTAAGTCTTGAGTGTGGTGACCAGGCCGGTGGAGGGAGCAGCCTTCCACCAGACCCTCTCCGTCCAGCTGTGCTCCTCAGCAGGGCTCACCCCCCGGGGCCCCTCCTTGGGGCGCCCCTAGTTTCCAGCCGGGCCCAGGAAGCGGTGGGAGCCCTGCAGGTGCCTGGCTGGCTTACCTGCACCTGCGGTCCCCCCACCCCCACGCTGGCCACTGAGACAATGGTTCCTCTCGTTCTAACAGAGCGGCCTGTGCCAGGCGCTGTCCCAGGCCCTTAACTGGCAGCTCGTCTAATCCTCCCAACAGCCCGCGGCCGGCGCCTGAGCCGAATCACAGAGGGAAGCCGAAGCACGGGGAAGTCAGGAGCATCCCGGGTCACAGGGGCCGCCTGGACCCCAGGCTGCCGTTCGTCTGCCCTGGGCCCCGCTGCTGCCCCCGCTGGCTGCCCCTCCAAAGGTGTGCAGTGCGGCAGCTCCAGGGACCCACGTGGACTGGTGACAGCCCGTCCCTCCCCCTGCTCCCAGCCCCTGCGGGTGGGTCTCCGCCCGCGTGGGGCACCGTCCTGCAGGCAATCCGAAAGGGAACAGGACACTATCAGCACCACACTGGGCCCGCAGGGGGCGCCGGCTGTACAGGTGAGGCAGGGCACAGGGTACCCCGTTCCTACCCACTCCCCCCCAAAGACACAGAGTCCTCTGAGGCATCTCCTCTGGGCTCCTCCCAGGCCCTGCAGAAGGGGCACCTGGAGCGACCGGGACCTTTAACATTCTCCTTGGGGCCTCAGGGCCTCCTGACCTGGTGTCTGCCCTGCCCACCCCCAAAGGCTGAGTTCAAGCCCTGAGGATCAGGGTGAGGGCGGGTGTGATGGGAGCGGGAGGCGGGGGGAGTCGCCTTTTGGACAGATCTGCTCGACCCCCATCTGTCCAGCGTGGCCTCGGCGGGCGTCCCCTGTGAGGGGCCGCGGTGCCACCGGCAGAACCGCTGAGGACGAGGCCGTGCGGCCGGGAAGGGAAGGGAAGGGCCGTAACCCTCGCTGCCCACCCGCAGGCGACCAGGAGAGCAGAGGGGAGCGGAAAGGAGAGGCAGGTCTGAGGCCGCTGCAGAGCCGGCTCCATCTGGGTTTGTTTATTCAGCACAGGCCCGGCCAGCCCTCCCCGGGGAAGTGGCTGAGCTGGGATAAAATAAATAAAGGCCTCCGAGGTGTGAGTGTGGATGGGCTGGGCCAGCCTGGGGGAGGGTGCGCGAGGCACGGGCCCAGCCTCAGCTGTCCACCCCCAGCCCCCGCTCCAACGGAGGTGTCCACGGGGACGGGCCCTGGCCCTCCCTCTGCCCCCGCGCCTTCCTGGGTCAGGTCCAGAGCCCGGGCCTCCTGGCCGGGCGGGGAGGAGGGCGGAGGGCCGGGTCCAGGCCCGAGGCCCAGGTCGCCGCCTGTGGCCTTGCCTGGGAGGCCCGGGCTCGCTGAGCTGGGACAGAGGAGCAGGAGGCAGAGCCCCGAGCCAGCAGGCCTTTAGCGCCCCCTGGTGCGCGGCGGCCCAGCCCCCGCTCCCAGCGCTCGTCCTCCCTCTCGCCCGACCCCCCCGAATCCGCACCCGCAGCGGCGCCCTCAGGGGTCACTCCAGCTGCCCCCCTTGTCCAGGGGCCCGGCGGCCCCGCGCGCCTCGCTGGCCGCCGGGCCCTCGTCCTCCCCCTCGTCCTCCCCGTCGGTGAGCTCGTCCTGGCCGGGCCCGTAGGCCAGCGTGGTGTGGGCCAGGTCCACCTCGATGGGGAAGACGTCGGCGCCCCGCAGCACGGCGTAGCAGTCGTTGTAGTACTTGGACATGGTGGACACGAAGCGCTGCAGCTGGAACACGATGTCCTGGACTGGGCGGCGAGAGGCGGGAGGACCAGTGGGCCGGCTGCCTGCCTGCCTGGGCTGGGCCCTCCCCGCCTGCCCGGGCCCCTCCCTGCCCTGGGCTTCCATGTGCACCGCCTGGCCCTCGAGCTGCCCACTCCCGCACAGCGCCCAGGCCTCCAGCTCCCACGGGGGACAGAGGAGCCCTGCACAGCACCCAGGCCTCCAGCTCCCACGGGGGACAGAGGAGCCCTGCACGGCACCCAGGCCTCCAGCTCTCACTGGGAGGGCAGAGGAGCCCTGCACAGCACCCAGGCCTCCAGTTCCCACGGGGGACAGAGGAGCCCTGCACGGCACCCAGGCCTCCAGCTCCCATGGGGTGGGGACAGAGAAGCCCTGCACGGCACCCAGGCCTCCAGCTCCCATGGGGTGGGGACAGAGGAGCCCTGCACAGCACCCAGGCCTCCAGCTCCCACGGGGTGGGGACAGAGGAGCCCTGCACAGCACCCAGGCCTCCAGCTCCCACGGGGGACAGAGGAGCCCTGCCAGGGTGGGGGAAGTGGACTGCACCGCAGGGAGTCCAGTCCCACCCAGTCTGGGCTCTGGGGAGGGGGTGTGCTCCTGCCAGCTCCATCCTGGGTCTGACAAAGCACTGCATGGCAGGGCCTGGCTCTGGGACGTCAGTCAGGTTAAAACGTTCCCTTCTGGGCCTCAGTTTTCCCAGCTCTGAAATGGGAAGAAGATGGCATCCACTCTCCACAATGAGGATGGTGCACGGGCTGGCTGAGGGAGGCATGACCTGGGCCCCGTGCCCGCCGGGCCCTCACCATGCTTCTGGTCCAGCAGCTCCATCTTCTCCAGCACGTCCTTGCGCATCTGGGAGAAGCGGGCGCGGGCCTCCTGGCGGCAGCGCAGGATCAGGCGGTACTCGTAGTTGCCGGTGCTGACCCGGTACAGGGGCTCCCCGAGGGCCTGGGTGGGGAGGGCACGTCAGGACCTGGCAGGGCGGGATCTGCTCCGGGGCAGACGGGGCAGGGGCACCACATGGCACCTTTCCAAGCTCCCAGGGCCCTCACTTCTGAGATGCCAGGGATGTTGAGAAGCCTGAGTTACAGCTTCATGAGAAAATAAAACAAAACAAACCCTTGCCTCGTTAAATAAGAGAACACTGAGTCATAAGAGAGATCCCAGTGTCAGAAATATTACAGACTTAGACCTAGCTGGTTTGGCTCAGTGGATAGAGTGTCAGCATAAGACTGAAGGGTCCCAGATGCAATTCCAGTCAGGGCGCATGCCCAGATTGTGGGCTCGGTCCCCAGTCGGGGGTGTGCAATGATTCTCTCATCATTGATGTTTCTATCTCCCTCTCCCTTCCTCTCTGAAATCAATAAAAATTTATTTTAAAAATATATTACAGATTTAAAAAATAAAAAAGGCCTCTCAGGAGTGAAGAAGGTCCCTTTTTCTTTGCAAGAACTTCACAAAGTAGGGGCAGTGGTGGGGAGGGGACAGGAAGTAGGGGCGGAGGGGAGGGGGGATGAGGCGGGGAGACAGATCCAATCTCCAGGAATAAGAGCCCGGCCAAGCCCCCAGGCCTCTCCCAGGTGGCCTGACCCAGCTGGTCAGGACGTTCTTGGGGCTCTGTGAGGCAGGCAGGGAAGGTTGTGCCCCCCAGCCTTTCTGATCCCAGGGCTGTGACCCCCACGCCCACCCGTGACACTCACAATGCAGCTGTATTCCTCGTCGTCCATCTCCTTCACCTTCAGGCAATACGACTGCAGGACAGTGAAGCCAGCTGTCAGATGGCTGCATCTCCCGGATGCCCACCCTGTCCCCATGCCATATGCCACAGGGCTCCTAGGCCACCTGGGGAGCAGCCCTGCCAGGCTCCAGGGCCTGCAGCCTCCTGGCTGGACAGGCTGGGTGCCAGGCTCCGGGCCTACAGGCTCCTGGCTGGGCAGGCTGGGCGCCAGGGGAGCTTTGGAGCACAGAGAGGCAGCCCCTCACACGGGCTGACGCTTGCTGGGTGGTCCCTGGTGGCAGCACAGGGGAGGGCACTCATCTGGGAGGGTGGAAGGGGCCTGAGGGGCAGCCCGCCACGTGCCAAACGCCAGGCCCACGGGATAAGGTTCGGTGGCTGCGCAGCCGGGAGGACCCGCGGCTCACGCTGCCTCGGCCCGCCAGAGGCTCCGGCAGCGAGGAGCCCCCGCTCGCCTAACGCAGCCTTTTCCCGCGGCTCCGCGGACCGCAGCGTTACCGTGAAACAAAGCTCATCACACCCTCGGCGAGCACTCCATCACCACGGACTAGTCTAGCCCGTCACTCACAGTGACCAGGGAGCCGGCGGTCCAGTGCCCAGCCCCTCCCAGGCCCTGGCCCGCCTCCGGCACCAGACCGGGCAGTGCCGGCCCCTCCCCGAGCCGCAGGCGCTCACCAGGTACTCGAACTTCACGTCCAGGTACTTCTTGATGGTGAGGCGGGTGTCGGGGATGGCCTTGTTGAGGTACGTGTTCAGGTCCGTCAGCATCTGCGGGGGAGGGGGGAGGGGGCTGATGCTCAGGTCCCTCAGGCAGGGGTCAGGGTGGCCAGGGCGACAGAGAAGAGCGGACGCGGAATGTCAGAGCCTCCGGGCGCTGCCTGGTGGTCTGGTCCGTCTCAAGGATGAGCAGACAGGCCAGGGCAAGCTGAGACCCCGTGGGGGAGCCGGGGGCACAAACCGCCTGGAGGTGACCCTTGGCCGAGGTCAAGGTGCTCGGCTCCAACCGCGTGACACGTGTCCCCCCCGCACGGCCAGGCAGGCGCCCGCGGGACCCACCGGCTTGATGGTTTTCAGCAGCCGGATGCCAAACTTCTCAATGCTGCGGTGGGCGTCCGCGAACTTCACGAAAGCCTCGCTGGCCGCCGGCTGGGGCTCCCGCACCCCGATCACGGAGAACACGTCCCCAAAGGCTGCGCGACAAGTCTGCGCTGAAGCCGGCCCCGGCTGGCGCTTAGGGAGAAGCCAGGGGTCCGTGGGGAGAGGCCAGGAGGGGGCATGGAGGCTGGGCCTTCACCCCAAGAAAGGTGTGCCAGCACCCACGGGAGCTGGTCTACACGCCTCACGCAGGGATGGGGAACGGCCAGCCTGCGGGCCATGTAAGGCCCTGCCGAGGCCTTAGGGTGAGTTAATTACATGTCTGACCAAGCAGGGCGGCTGACTTTTAAGGGGATGACATTGTATGGCCCCCGAATGTTATACATATTCCATAGGCCTGGGCAGGAAAAAAGGCCCCACCCTGCCCTCGGGGATCTGAGGAGCCGGGCATACGCCCCAGGGAGCAGACTCCCCCTGCTGGGGAGGCGGGTCCGTGCCCTCAGGGAGCTGCCCTGTCCCCCCGTGGCCAGGCCGCGGAGAGGCTGGGCCGGGCCTGGGGCGGTGCTGTCTGAGGGCAGAGGCCGGTCTGGATCTGGACACCTGGGTCCTAAGGCCGGCTGGCCAGGAGCTGTGGGACCGTTTCCTCTGCCTGGGCTTCTCTTCCCAAATGCAACCACCGGGAGGAAGGGCCTCGTACGCTACGCGGCAGCACAGACAGACCGGACAGGGCCGGTCAGGGACCAGCAGCTGGTCCAGGTGCCCTCAGCGCTGCCACCTTCCAGCACCTGGATGTGCCGGCTACGTGCCAGCTGGAGCTGGCCCTGGCCGCGCTGTGATGCCCACTGAGCACGGCATGAGGACCAGGGACAGCAGCCACACCTGCAGGCACGGGGACACTGAGCCGGAGAGGGGTGGGGGCGCCTGCGGTCATGGGTTTGGGGGCGCCTTACCCCGGTGCGTCTGCGACAGCTCGTAGAAGGCCCGCAGGAGGCTCTTGGTGTGCTCCGTCATCCCTGCGGGGGGCCACACGAGGGGGCATGTGACGGGGCGGCCCTGGCCCAGGACATCGCCTCCAGCCCACCCCACAAGGCCTGCCCTGCTCCTGAGGGCACCCGCTTGCCCACAGCCCCCCTCGGCCCAGCATGGGGCGCCCCGGGACGGGAGCCGGGCTCCGCAGGGGAGGCGGAGGCGCCTCCTATGGCTCTCTCCGGAGAGCGGCCGTTCGGGGCCTTCGCCACGTTACACGCACTTGCACTTGAACGCTTATGGGTAGGTGTTACTTTTACAACCAGGAAGTGTCTTAAGGCTTTTTAAAAAGAATTCTTAACGGCCACGGTCCTAGAGCTTCTCAGCTGGCATTCCTACGCCACCCGCCGCGTCCTCGGAGGCGCCGGGGCCCGGCAGGGCTGCCCACCTTTGTAGAGCTCAGCGGTCCGCTCCAGCTCCTCCAGCCTCTTGACAAGCCCGTCTGTGGGATCAGAGGTGGGGGGGGGCGGGGGTCAGGGTCTCAGGAGCGAGGGGGGGGGGCAGAGGCAACCCGAGGACAAGCAGGATCGGCACAGAACGAGGTCCTTCGGGGGGATTGGGCACGCAGGGTCAGTGGGTTCAGAGGTGTTTTGTAAACAGCTCAGAACACCCGGACGAGAGGCAGGGCTGGCCCCCCAACACTCCCAAGATGAGCCCCACCCAGAAGGCCAGGGCACATGGAGGGGCAGATGGGTGATAAACAGGTACTTCCAAAAGGCACGTGTGAAAGACAGCCGGAGCCCCCCAAGGCCAGCCTAGCAGCCCCGGCCCCCATCCTGCTAGCACGGGCTGCGCTGCCCACAGCCGAGGAGGAAGGCCGTCAGGGACAGTGGGAGATGGTGGACCAATGGTCAGTGTAACAGGCTCCATGTGGCTCCCAGCACCGAGCAAAGGATCGGCTCAGAGGGGGGGCAATCGGGGGAGCGGGAAGAATTCCGGAAGGGCTAGGGCTGAGGGAGAGCTCGCCTTAAATGGGGCCTTGAGGACCCCCCTTTGTGTTTATTGAGCACCTACTGTGTGCAGACACCCGCTAGGCTCCAGGAAGCCTGGGTGAATGAGATCCGAGGCTCCCAGTCTAGGAGGAGCCAGACAATGGCCAGCCGCTGCCTGGCAGTGACAGGGCTGCAGGGGGGGGAGGGGGGGCGGGCAGCTGCCTCACCTCAGGGCTGGAACATGAATGGCCAGAGCTGAGGCAGCCTTCAGATTAGAGGGGGACGGGGCAGGGAGCTCCAGACAGGCTCAGACAGGCTCAGGGCAGGGCAGTGAGGAAGGTTCCGTGTGCGGCTTCCTCCAGCAGTGGGTGCCCCCCTCCACTCCGACAGGATGAGGCCCGCACATGCCCCCCCAGCAGCACCTGCACCCCAGGGGCCCTGTCGGCAGCTTGCTGCTCCCCCCTTCCTCCCCACCCCCGCCCGCCCAGGCAGGGCCTGGATTACTTCTCTCGTCCTATATAACAAAAGACTAATATGCAAATTGTCCCCTCAACTGCGAGTTCAACCTTGAGTTGGACCAGAGAGCAGGGCCGGCCAGCCAACCACCATGGCCACTCCTCTTGGCAGTCCTGGCCCAATTGGTCCGATCAGGGTGGGCTGGCCAGACCCCACCCCTGCAGGAATTCATGCACTGGGCCTCTGGTTTTATCAGGAAAAACCACGGGACAGAGAGATGAAGCCACCTGGTCAACGGCACATGGCGGGGCTGTCCCCACTGGTGTGCTCTGCCCGTCCCTGTGGCCTGGAGGGCGGGGGAGGCAGCAGCAGGGGCCGCCCGGCCTCTCCGGGCAGGGAAGGCGGCTGGACGGGCCGTCAGGGGAGGAAGCTCGGCTCAGGGGCCGGAGGGGGCACCTGCAGGTCTTCGCGAGACGCTGGCCCCCGGCGGCCTCCGGCCTGGCTCCCAGAGCCCGGCGCCAGGCCAGCGGCGGGAAAGGAGCACGTAGGCTGCTGTTGCTTTTAGCTGGGTCATGGGACAGCATGACAGCTTCCATTTTAGAAACCCTATTTCAGGCCGGGAAATTGCCAGGTTCAGGGAAAAACACAACAATCAGTTCTAATTCCATCCCGGCGCATGGTAACTACAGTAACGGGGATTTTAGACACCGAGCGGCCGAAAATAGCAGCCTCCACTCTGAAGCCGTTTGGAACCGGCTCAGCCGCCACCCCCACGCCCAGCCAATGAGGCCGCTGTGCCCAGCTGAGCCCACCATTCCCGTCGGTATTTATATCTCCCACGTCCAGCCGAGCTGCTGCTGTTTACACTCAGGCGATGACGGGAGGGACGGGTCCAAGCGCCCTGCTGGCCACCCTGGGAGCGTGTGCACACGCGTGTGGGGTGAATGTGCGCGGACACGGCGTTCTCCCTCCAGCAGCTGCCTCCAGCCCGGGCAGGGCCGGCGGGGCGGCTCAGACAGGGCAGCAGCGCCACCTCCTGGAGGGAGCAGTGGGCGCGCTAGAGAAGGGGGTGAGGGAGGCACAGGGGCACTGAGCTTGGTTCTGTGAGAGCAGCTGGGGCGGTGGCAGAGGCACCAGCTCGGACCTCCCTGCTGTGCTGTCTCCCGGTGGGAGCTGCGCCTGCGCCTCCCCGCCTGACCACCGCTCTGGGGCCCCCCGAGGCCAGCCCCGTGCTTACAGACAGGCCAGACCCCAGCAAAGTCAGCGCCTGGTGACCACAGGCCAATCTCTTCCCGGCACCCAACCGGGAGCTGGGACATGCCGGCGTCCCACTCTGGGACACAGAGGCGACCATCGGCCCCAGGGGCCGAGGCCGGGCAGGAGGGACCCACGATGGCTTGGGCACCACGATGCCCTCCCCCTGGGAGCTGCTGTGAGGGCACTCACCATTGCACAGGATGGCCCGGCTCAGGCCCAGCGCATCCGCAGTCCCCGAGCTCATGTTCTCCACCAGCCGGTGCTTCACCTTCTTCAGCACTGGACAGAGAGGGGGCTCAGGGGGGGCCTCGGCAGCTGGCCCCGGGCCCCTGCCCCCTCATCACGACTCCGGGGACAGAAGGGGGAGGGGCTGCAGTGGGGGTGAGGGGCAGAAGGGGGAGGGGCTGCAGTGGAGTGAGGGGTGGGTGACTACGGAGTGGGGAGGTTTCAGGGGGGGTACTGGGCCCTGCCCTAGTCACTCTCCACATCAGGAGCCGTGGCGCCTGGAGGAAGGAACCATGTAAAGCTCAGCCCCAGGCCTGGCACTCCGAGTGCTGCTGGCCTTCACCGAGAGCCCTGGTGCCGGGCTGGACCCTGAGAGCCTCTGCTCCTCTTCCTCACCCGACCTGGGGTCCCGGGGAGCAGAGGCCCCAGGCTGTCACTGACTCTGGGGAACACGGTGCACACTTGTCCCTGGAAGGCGACCAGGGCGGGAACAAAGGGCTTCAGAGGAAGGACCCAGGACAGGCTCAGTCTGCCCTTGGCCTCTCTGCCCTGGCCCTAGGGAACAGGGGAGGGTGCCGGACTGGAGCCTGGAAATCGGGGGAGGGAGGGTGTCGAACCAGGGGCTCGGAGCCTCGAGGGGTCTCCGGTCTGTCTGCAATGAGGTGGCTGGCCCAGAGCACCTCCCCTCTGCCCAGACCTGTGAGTCCTGACTTTTCCACAGGCCCAGCCCACAGCAGGGCACCTGGTTCTGGGCCCACTGGGCAGAGGAGTGGCCTGTGGCCCTGGTCAGACCGGGAGCTCCCCGGGAGAAGCGGTGGGAGAGGCTGAGGGCAGGGGGGGTGCAGGCCAGGCGGGCGCCCTCCCTGTTGGCAGGCTGAGCGCTGGGCTGCGGGAAGCTGAGGGTTGGCTTACAAAGTCCCGGGGAAGGAGGCTGCCAGCCTGGGGGCGCTTGGTCAGAAAGCTATCGAGCGGACCAGGCGGCTGCGGGCACTGCCGTGAGGAGGAGACGGGGCGGGGGCTCACCGATGTCCAGGGACATGCCCTGCTTGGGGTCCGCCTGCAGCTTGTTGTAGTGGATGGTCACCTCCCCCTGCGGAAGCACGGCAGGCCGAGTGAGGAGGAGTCCCCGGGCCCCCAGCCCGTCCCCAGGGAGGCCTGTCCCGGGGCCTGTGGTCCTGAGAGAATGAGGGCAGCCCTGCAGGTCCGGGGCGGGGCCAGGCCCTGGGGGATCGGCAGGGACGGGCAGACATGGTCCCTGCTGTCAGAGCCCACAGCCTGGCAGTCTGACGCCCTGAGCTCCCTGCCCTCCCCCACCTCCAACCCTTTGCTGTAGAACTGCCCCCGCACAGCACGTCTTCCCTGCACCCGCATCGTCCCTCCTCCCGCCCCTCCACCCTCCACCCGCGCGTCTGAGCACTCGCTCTGTGCCCGGTGCTGGTGGCAAGGAGCTGCACAGGGGCTGCCCCAGGCCGATGTAAACACGGGGGTTACAGTCCTAGCGACTGGAGAGAGGTGCCACTTCTCCCAAGAAGCCGCCCTGACCCCCTGAGGCCGCCACATCTCCCTCGTCCTTGGGATAGTAAGACCCTGCAACTTGGGGCTGAACCCGTTCAAACACAAGACGGGACTTCAAAACCGCGTCCTGAATGGAAACCAGACTGAGCGGCTGTGGGGAGAGTCTGGTGGATGCGCCAGACCCCCTCAGGGTGCAGCGCCTGTGCTGGGGGCTGGAGAGGGAGCACCCAGCCCTGGGTCCTGGGCCAGCCTAGTGGCGCAGGCAAATCTCTTCCTGGGAGGGGCACAGAGCCTCGAGGGGTCCTGGTGAGGAGGGGTCCTGGTAAGGAGCGGTGGTGAGGGGTGAGGAGAGGACTCCAGGGGTGGGAGAGTGAGAGGAGGTAGAAAGGACAAAGGGAGGAGGCTCTGGCTGAGGCGGGAAAGGGACTGGAAGGGATGCTGGCCGGTCCTGAAGACTCGGAAGGAGGGGAAGGAAGGTCTGGATGGGGCCGAGGGAGCTAGAACTCAGCCAAGCCCCGTTTACAGCGGGAACCTTGGTTCTGACTTCTAAACCATCCTTCGCTTCGCGATTCCTTCATGGCATTCGCTTCCCAGAGTTACCAGCAGCCAGTCTCTGGGAGCGGCAAAAGGGCTGCACGCCTGCTTCCGAGGGAGGCAGCCTGCCATTCAGGAGGGGCCGAGGCCCAAGCAGCCGGCAGGCAGGGGTGGGGGTTGGGGTGGGGGCGGAGGGAAAGCAGGGAGCAGGCAGCGTGGGACTGTGGCCGAGGAACAGAAGACCAGCAGCTGCCCTGGAGCCAAGAGGGATCCCTGGGGCCTGTGAGCCCATAGGACCCGCTGGAATGAAATTCCATCAGGGACGGGCAAGGGGGCTCCTGCCTCCCTCCCAGGCCCACACGGCTTAGCCGGCATCGCCTGGATGTCTGAACCAGGTGAGTTCCCCGGGGACTTCTAGCCTCGGCTCTGACTGGGACACACTGAGCCTGAAGCCGGCTCTGAGGCTGCTGGCTCACGGGCAGCTCGCGGACAAGCACCTTTGGTTCTTGGTGCCCCTCTCCTGCCAAGGCCCAGCCCAAGTCCTGCAGCACAATTAGTATCAACTGAGCGAGCGAGGAGGAACTGAGGGGGTGACCCAGACCCTGATGCTCTGAGGAGGGGCAGGGATAGGCCTTACCTTCACTTCCTGGATCATCTTTGCCACCTCCACCTTAGTTTTTCCTTTGATTGACCTGCCGTTGACACCGGTGATCTCATCGCCAGCTGCCACGGTGCCGTCCAGGGCTGCCGGCGTGTTGTCAAATACCTGGGGGTGCAGAGGGGGGAGGGGAGTGCTGAGAAGAAACCCAGCGGGAGCCAGGCCTTCCCTTCACCCCAATAGTGCCTGGCTCTGTCCTGGCCTCTATCCTCCTCCTCTCCCTCTCCTTTCCTCTCTAAAATCAAAACATGTTACTGGTTTTTTTTTTAAAGTAAAAACAGCAGTAGCTATTATTTAATGACTACTTATTGTGTGCCAGATGTTGCATTATGTCCTTTTATTTAATCTTCCCAGCAACCTGAAGATGCTCACCTTTACATATTTTATATACCCACTTTCCAGGTGAAGAAACTGAGGCCCAGGGAGGTTAATTAACTTTCTAATAAGCAGAGAAGCTTGCATTTGAACTCAGGACAATGTTATGTATCTTTCCACTACACTTCACTTGTGCGAGTACCAAAGGCTTTGCTGATTCAGTAACGACATTTCATTGAGGGTCCACTCTCTGACTGCTTTGCAAAGCAAGTTGGGCCCTGCCCTCACAATACAAAGAGCCTGAAAAAGCAATCAGATACGGAACCACCAAAGAGCAAACCCCCAATTACAGATGTGGTGAGTGCCGAGAAGGGAAAGAAGAGACTGAAATCACAGAGGAAGACAAGGGCAGACCTGTGGAGAGGGGGTGGCCAGGAGGGCAGACCTCCAGAATGAGGAGGAGCCACTCTGCAGAGTAGAGAAAGGAACCTGCCTTGGTCATGCCCAAGTAGGAGGTGGCCCGCCCCCACCCCCACCTCCACCTGCGAAGCACCCAATACCTGGACGATGTAGAGGCAGGGGCAGTACTGGGCCCCTCCGCCAATGCTGATCCCGATCAGGTTCTGAGCATCCTTCTGCAGGGTCACCTTCCCGGGCACCGTAGGGATTCCGCTGGAAAGGCAAGCACCAGAGGCTGAGCCTCCCGGAGGAAGGGTGACGGGGCGGGGGGGCGGGGGGGGGAGGGGAGGACGGAGAAGGGGATGGGCCTCCGAAAGCCCCAAGAGGCTCCACCTGCGGCACCGCCTTGCCCTCACCCTTGGCCACAGGGACAGCACTGGGCCGGGCCGGGAGTCACACAGATGTGGGATGACATCCCGGCTGTGCCATGGATCTGCTTGGGACTGGGTCAGCTACCCGCTCTGCATCTCGGTTTCCACATCCGTACAACAACATGAACTAAATGGCAACTTTAGCAGAGTTCTCGTAAGAAAGTGCCCCGAAGACATTTGATACCAACCCTGCCCGTAGCAAGCTTCCCTAAAAACAGGCCCCCTCCCCTGTGCTTCATCACCCCTGAGGTTTGATCAGACTGTCCCCTCCTCGGAGACATATGGGACATGACTTCTGGGGAGACTCCTGTCAAACTACCCACCACCCATCTCTCAGCTGCTCTGCTCGTTACCGCTCAGTGTTCACAAGAAATGAGCACTTACTTATGCTTTGCAGTAAACATTCTCATGTACTCACTCATTCATCCAACAAACGTTTGCTGACAACTACAGACGCCGAGCACCTTACCAAGTGCCGAGGACACAAAAGGCACTGACCCAGTCCTTGCTCTGAGAGAGGATTTGTCTCCTAAGGAGGCGAGCAGAACTTTTGAAAACCTGTCCCACTAACTGTCTATACCAGGGAAGGCAGTTTGCTTGGTATTTCTACTCATCCTTCCAACCTGGCGCAACTGCCCTCCCCTCCTCGAAGCCTCCCTGACCCCCTGCTCCGGCTGCTCTGCTCCCCCAGCAGCCAGGCCCCTCAGGGCAGGGCCCTCACGGCTGTCACTGAGTCCACGCCCCCGGGATGGTGCGCTCCTGTAGGGAAGGGTCCATTCAGCTCCAGGACAAGTCTGGCCCGCTGGGAAGCACGGGTGGGTGGGCCTGGGAAGGAAGGGGATCTGGGGGACCTGGGGGAACGAAGTACTCACAGTTTATCCTCTTCGATTTCATAATCCAAGTCTGCAAACATGGTTCCGAAAGCTGAGGTGGGCGGGCGAACTACCCGGCTCGGCAGGGGCTCAGAGAACTGGATCCGGCAGAGAGAAGGGCGTAGGGCTTAGGGAGCCGAAGTGCCCAGATGCCTCCCCGGCCCGGACAGCCCTGGCCCCCTCCCCTCGGGACGGCGCGGGGCGGGGGGAGTCCCGGCGGGCGGGGAGGTGATTCTTACTAAGAACGGGGCGGCGGGGGGACTCCAGGCCAGGGCGATGGGCGCAGGTCCCAGGGCCCGCCCACGAGGGTCCAGGCCCTCGGGGGCAGCTTCTGTGGTCCCCGGAAGCGCCGGCCCCACAGTCGGTGCGGGCCAGGCTGGCACCTGAACCCACCTGCCGTTCCACCTGTCGGCGGCCGCAACTGTCGCGTCACTTCCGGGGGGACGCGGAAGTCATGCTTCCCTCTCTGGGTATTCGCCCCGATCCCCGCCGGCAGCCCTCCCGTCCCTGGCTCCCGGGGCTCCGGAACCAGGAAAGAGAGCCGGTGTGGACGGAAGCTCGCCGTTAGCCGGAGAAAGCGGAAACAGAGGGAAGGTCTGGACCGGCCGGCGGCGTCCGACCCCGCCCCTTGCCCAGAGGCCGCCGCCATCTTGGGAAGGGCAGCGCTCTTCCCAGCATCCTCAGCGGGACGCCAGGGACCACGCCGGCAGGGCGGTTGCCGTGGCAACGGGAGCATCCTTGGCTGGGGAGACTTTTGGCGAAGTCCGATGGCCTACAAACCCTTCCACATTTCCAGCGCCCAGACCTATCTGTTGCGACTCCTCTATTACAATGACGGCAGCCTAACTCCAGTTTTGCAAACCAGGAGCCTAAAGGCAAGAAGAGGGGAAGGAATTTTACCCAGGAACACCCATCCAAGATGTGGCCTACGATTCAGATCCCGAGTTTGAGACTGCCGCCTCCTCCAGTGCCCTTTCAGCACGTGCACACCTGTGTTCAGTAGGTCTGCTAGGACAGGCTGGACAAGTTACCTTCCCTCCTCTTTATATCCTCCTTGCCCCACGTGCAAGCTAAGCGCCGAGGCAGATGCTTGCTATGGTATTTGGTGAGAGGTTCCTCACACCCCATCTCCTTTGTTAGCCTTGAGGAGCAGCCCCCTGGGGTCCCACTGAGGCCAGGAAATGCCATCAGTGCCTCCCAGCCAAGAAGTCCGAATCTCATCTCCCCGCCAGCCTCTGCTGCCACTGCTTCCGTGTCTAGCGGGTTCCCCACAGGGGCTGGTGCTCCCAGAGCCGCAGCCCTGGCATCCTCCTCGCCCTGGAAGCATGGCCCCAGGCCTGCCCAGCTTCCTTCCCTACCTGCCAGGGGTGTAGGGAGAAGGAGGGGTGCCGGGATATTATCCTAGTATCCCAAAGCCTGACGGGAGCCCCGCCCCATCAGATGTGCAGATGGCACAATAGCAACAACCTTCCCAGGGACCCACAGCTCTGCAGCCCAGGTCACCTTCCCAGGATTTTAAAGTTCACCCTGACCCTGTCTTTCTTCCTCTTAGGCACCGACTTTATAATCCCTCCCATGAGATGCTAGGTCTCCATCAATAGGGGTCACGTGACAAAAAAAGAAAACCAGGTTGCTTTGTAATGCCTGTTAGAATGAAAATATTGCTGAAACAGGTTTGGCTCAGTAGATAGAGCGTCGGCCTGTGGACTGAAAGGTCCCGGGTTCGATTCTGGTCAAGGGCATGTACCTTGGTTGCAGGCACATCCCCAGTAGGGGGTGTGCAAGAGGCAGCTGATTGAAGATTCTCTCATCGATGTTTCTAACTCTCTATCCCTCTCTCTTCCTCTCTGTAAAAAAATCGATAAGATATATTAAAAAATAAAAAAAGAATGAAAATATTGGCCCGCTTTATGTTGTCAGTGAAGGAGCCTCCAGGGTCAGCCCACACAGCCTGGAACATGCTCCGGCCACTTAAAGGGTGCGGTTGGGACCACGAATTTATTTGAGAGGAAAGAGAGTTGGAGTGGCTTGTCCCATCACCAAAGTAAGCATCTGTCTCCCTGGCTGGAAGGGAGCCTCTGCGGCAGGTCTTGCCCTTTGACATCCCACAGAACCTGGGACAATATCTGGCTGAGGATGAAGTGCATCAAAATACCTGTGACCTTATATGAAATGGGACGTTCTCCGGACCCGGGAGGAGAGGACGTGGATGGACAGAGAGGGAGCGAGATGACGAGGGCCTGAACCGGAACAGTGGCAGTCAGTAGTTTGAGCTTGCTCCACAGGGATCGCCAGGCCCCTGGGACATAAGACGCAGTTTATATGTCCCGAGTTTTGGAATTGTGGTCGTGAGCAAACAGCAATTTCCAAACCCAGGAGCTTTAACACAGCTTGCAGCTCTGCCTCCTCAGCACGTCCCAGACCAAACTCCAGCCCTGCAGGTTTGCAGCTGGGGGGATGTGGGGCAAATCACCCATTGCCTCTGAACCTCGGGTATCTGTGAACCAGGGATGGTGCTCCATCCTGAATAGCAGCTCTAAGGATGGAGATTAAAGGGAGACATGGGTGTGAGCGTGTTTTGTTAGTGACTCACCGGGCACAGGTGCCGGGTTTTTATTGTCCCCTCATTATAATAATTTTCCCTGACTGCTTAAGGGCGAGGCCAGTGGCCCACTGAAAGGGCCTCCAGAGGGTCAGGGCCCTGGCTCAGGATCCGCAGGAAGGCGTCTCCTGTGCAGAGTCCTAGGCTCAGTCACTGTCCTATGTGTGGAGTCTCTGGGGAAGGGGGATCTAGAAAGATCCACGGGCGGCTGCAGGGCCACCTCCATGGAGCACTGTCAGAGGCTCAGGATGCACAGTGTCTGTACACTTGGGGGGGCCCGTTCAGGTCCGCCAACAGCCCTGCCCCAGAGGCCTCCCCATCGGCAGGAGCCAAAGGCTGGGAAGGCTTCCTGGAGGAAGTGACATCTCAGCTGAGTCCTGATGGAAGTGCTGGTGGTGCCCAGGCCACAAAGAGGGGCAGGGTGACAGGCAGAGGGGCAGGCAGAGGGCCCAGTGGTACAGGCAGCAGGGGTGCACGGTATGGTCCCTGTTCTCAGGAAGTCACTGTGGCAGGGGAGGGGTGAAGACAGACAGTGAGCACAGTGACAGGGTGATGGGGTCACCACCCAAGTGCTGGTGGGAGCACGGGGAGAACTGCCACCTTTGCCAGAGTCACAGGTGAGGGGGGTCAACAAGGGTCTTGGAGGGGAGGTTTGAGCACCTTCTTCCAGATGGGCAGGATTCCAGGGGTTGAAATTGGGGTGAGAACATCCACCCACTTCCAGGACGCCTTCACTCTTCAAGCTTGCTCCTCCTCCTCTTCCTCCTCCTCCTCCTCCTCCTCCTCCTCCTCCTCTTCCTCCTCCTCCTCCTCCTTCTCCTCCTCCTCCCCGGCTCTGCTCCAGGCAGGCAGTGACCTCTCACTGGGCCTGTGTGACCCTGGGCCAGTCCCAACCTCTGGCTGGGCCTGAGTTTCCTCCATCCTTCCTCCCTCAGTTCCTGAGCTTCAGATTCAATGGCCAAAAGAAGGCCCCTCAACCCCATATTCTTGGGGACGTGCTGCCACCAAGCGGCCATTCCGAGAAACACCCCTGAGGACTGGAGCTGCATGAGCTGCACGCCACCCCCACCTTCCCGCTCCTGCCATTGCCCCCACCCGCCCAGCTCGGGGCTGGCTGGGGAGACCACGCGTCTCCGGAGTCGGTGGGCGATGGGTGAGGCTGGTGTCCGTGTGCCGTGCGGTGTCTGACGCGCCTGCCCTTCAGCGCGGCTGCACCCCAGGCCTGACTCACCCCTGGCTTCGCAGCCCCTTCAAAGGTCAAGAAACCGGGGGTAGGCGGGTGGAATTTGGCTCAATTAATCATCAGCATAGAGATCGAGGGCGTGGGTTTTAAGTCAAACCGATGGTGACAGAACCGCCAGCCGCCGGCACTTCCTGGGCCTTCACTACGAGCCTAGAGCGAGGCTGCCGTCCATTGTCTCCCGGGAAGCTCACCGGCGCCCCTGGAGGTGGGGCTGGCCCTGCCTGCATGCGTCCAGTCCACTGGTGTGTCAATCAGAGAACAGGAACACGGGGTCTGGGCCTGGGCGAGCGGGAGAGGCAGGGGGACCCGGGTAACAACCTCCCACTTCAGAGCGACAGGGGAGGGGAACTCTCACGGGAGCCCCGGGGGAAGGGGCAGGATTGTGGGCTTGTGGGAGTAGAGTTGATGGGCGTGATCCCAGCCCCTTGAGTGAGCTTAACCGGGCAGGTGTCGGACATTAAGGGGTTGCGGGAGAAGAGGCTGCCAGCAGGGCCGAGGGCAGGCGTCACCCCCTGACCTCACAGTCACACAGTGAAGGCTACGCCGCGCACCAATACACAGCTGCAAATCACACAGCGCTTTCTACTCACAGGCCGCCTGGTGCCGCGGGCTCAGGCTTCAGGGGTCCCCGGGGGGGAGTGGGGTCCTCGGCGGGCAGCGGCGGACCCCTCTTTGGGTGGCTGGCCGTCTGGTTGTGTTGAGTCCGTGGAAGGAGGGCGATGGAAGTCTCACGATCAGAGGTCCGGCCGTTCTCCTGCCGGCCGGCTGGAGCGAGCCGCGTGGGGGTGGGCCAGGAGGACGATGGATGTCTGACGCCGGGGACCGGTTTGAAGCCGGTCCTGGCCCACGGCCGTCCAGGTGGCTATCGGGGACATGTGTCATCACGCAAGTGTTACCCGGAGTGCAGGGCGGTTATCGGCCGCAGAGCGGGCTCTATCAGGCTCACACACCTCGTCCCTCAGGGCAGCACTCAGCGACGGTTAATCTACACGGTGCGGCCACGCCCTGTGCTCTTTACCATTTCACACAAAGCAGTTGTTCTCACTTCCTAGAGCGCTCTTGGTTGTTTTCTATTGCCACAGCAGTGTGGCACTCTCTGCTTATTTCCCAGCATCCTCACTATTGCTGTGACACCAGCAGAGGCCGGAGCCGGTGGGCTGGCTGAAGCCACATCTCCTCCTCCCTGAGTGACTGGG